GGTGGCTGGGAGTGGCCACTGCACTCCAGCCTGGGTGACAGAGTGAGACTCCAACTCAAATAAAAAAAAAAAAAAAACTTCTAGAAGAATACATAGAAAATTAATAGAAGTTATCATGGGAAAAAAAACTGTCTTTATGTGCATTGACATGACTGTGGCTGAGAATCTAAACAAAACAAAACAAAAAGTAGTAAGTGAATTTAAATTTAGCAAGGTGGTAGAACATGCGACTTTTGGGTCAGTATATAAACATCAACTGTATTTTATTTTTTCATTACTATTTTGAGTCACAGTCTCACTCTGTTGCCCAGTCTGGAGTGCACCCTCACGGCTACCACAGCCTCGACCTGCTGGGTTCAGGCGATCCTTCAGCCTCAGCCTTCCAAGTAGCTGGAACTACAGTCGCACGCTACCACACCCGGTTAGCTTTTTTATTTATTGTAGAGATGAGGTTTTGCCAAGATTCCCAGGCTGGTCTCGAACCCCTGGACCCAGACAATCATCTAGCTTCTTCCCCCAAGGTGCTGGGATTACAAGCATGAACCACTGCGTGAGACCATCATTTGTATTTTAAATACTAGTCAAAAACAGTGGAGAAATTAACATTTAAAAAATCAGTTTCAAAACTATTAAGAAACATAAAATGCACAAACTTAAAGAGAGATGTGTAAACACCCTACACTCTGAGCCTGCGGGTTCGAGACCAGCCCGAGCAAATTGGCAAGTCCTTGTCGCTACAATAAATAAATAAATAAATAAACACTACACTAAGAACTACAAAACATTTACTTAAAGGAAGTAAAGATCTAAATATAGGCCTGGCGCGATGGCTAACAGCTGGACCACAAGACAATGAGACAACAGGTTCCAGTAAGCGGAACTGGAAAAAAAGTGCCTTGACGCAGGCCACAGTGATGCAATTCACCATTATTAGAGCACAAAATTCCCCCCCCCCACTCCCGCAAAACCCCAGGGATTCCAGACCCAAGACACTCCCCCAGACCCCGAAGATATTTTTAGCAACTCAGGCTCACCTCCAGCCGCCCCCCTTCCTACCTCAACAAAGCAGGTACTTCAAGACCTGAGCCGCACTCCTTCCTGCCCCCACCACACCCCCAATTGCCACGTGGGACTTATCCAGCCCCATCCAAAAACAAAACAAAACAAAACTCTTGGCATTCCCCATCAGCCCTGGGTTCCCACAACCCCTCGCAGAGGTAGGACCCAAATAAACACTGCTTTTCCAAAAAGCACCCAGGAATATACGGCCCTAGCTAAGTCCTCACGCCCAGAACAGGGCAAGTCGGTCGGGTGGGCCCAGCCGAACTCATCCCCACGGGCCAAATAAGCCTCAGGGATGCAGGCCTGGGCCCGCCCTCCTCAAATAAGACATTCGAACTCCAGATCCCTCGGCCCCCACCAGGGAAGGCAGGTCCGTGAGGCGACCGGCCACCGAGGTTCCCGGCGGTCCGGGGTCTCACCCCATTGCCCCGCCCCAAGTGTGTGCCCCACCTCCAGAAGCGCAACATCCCAACCCGCCAGCCTCAGCTACTCCAGCGCGCCGCCCCCGGCCCGCCCTTCCACCCGTCACACGCCACTCAGCCTAGGTCCGGCCTTTCCCGACCTCCCTCCTCCCACGGGAAAGGGCATCCTGGGGCCAAGGACCCAGGCAAGCCTCGCCCGCCGGAGCCCGCGGGACCGGCCATTCGCCACCGGCCGCCGACCTACCCAGAACCACTTTCCAGAATCCTGCAGGCTCCGGTTCCCACTGGCCGCTACCGAGCCGCTTCTCGGTTGTGCAAAGGTTAATTGACCAGGACAGTGGCTCCTGCAGCGATAGCCTCCCCGTCTCCTTTCTTAAAACCCCCGTGCCGAGAACAGGGTCAGCTCCGCAGCGATGACTCGGTTCCCTCCGCTCATTCTCCACTCGGGCTGCAGCCCCCGCTAGCCTCTGCGGCTCTTTCCCAGTCGCTTCCGGATCCGGGGGCTGCGCCGGGAAGGCATAAATAAACACTACCCTAAGAACTACAAAACATTTACTTAAAGGAAGTAAAGAGCTAAATATAGGCCTTTGGCGAATCCCCAGTGGTTCCATGAGAAATCCACTTGTAAGTGCCCCTTTGACATGTATGTGATTGTTTTGAAAGGTTGGATAAAAAAATAAATAAATAAAATAAAAAGAAAGGTTGGATACGCGTTTTGCCCACTTTACCAACTAAGAATGTTTTTCTTAAAGGTCTCCTATCCGGTTGGCGAATCTGGCCGGTCCTGTGCCGGGTGCCCCAACGGCTTTGAGTTTGGATTTTCCTGCCCTGGCTGGAGCGCAACTTTCTGGGCTCCGGCTCCATAACCGGCAAGGGGCTTTGCGTGAGCACCAGCTGGGTTTGAATTCCTGCTGCCCGCGCACCCCTGGGTCATCGTCATTGTACTTGAGGGGGAGACACAGGGCGAAGCCGCCTTTCACCGTGGATCCCCTACCCTCAACTCTGGTGCACTCCTCTGCGTGCCCTGTAGACATTTTCCTCCTGTCGAAATCCTCAGTAACAGACTCTCATCTTGGAGGGTGGAAACCCTCCCCGGGCTGGAATATAGCTCTCTTATCTACCATCCTGGTTAAGAACTGGACTGCTGGCAGGGTTCCGCATAGCAGGCCTTTTTCAGCTTGTGGGAGGAGCGTTTAAATCATAATGATAAATGAAAATTAAGTTGAAGTTTGCTCGTTGCCAGAAAGGAAGTAAACCTGCCCTTCCCCCCTCCCCAGTGGTTCCATGAGAAATCCACTTGTAAATGCCCCTTTGACATGTATGTGATTGTTTTGAAAGGTTGGATAAAAAAATAAAAAAATAAAATAAAAAGAAAGGTTGGATAAGCGTTTTGCCCACTTTACCAACTAAGAATGTTTTTCTTAAAGGTCTCCTGAGCCATTTCTTTGACATGTAAACGTTTAAGGTCACCGTGGGAATTTAGCTTAGGTGCTAGCTCCAAAAGGTAAACCACATGGTTATCATCCATAGAAGTTTTATTTTTCTCTTTGATAAAGGCAATTAACTGGCACATATAGCTATCCCAATTACCAGGTGAATTTAGGATGAACTATGAAGGATTGCACAGCAAAGAATGTCAAATATTCTTACAGAAGGGCAATTTACCATTAATCTGGAGAACATGTTCATAATAGAAATGGACTGTATCTGCTCAACTAGATAAAAAGTGAGATTTCCTTCTGTCTTTTGAGTCTCATTATCAGATTGCCCATGATGTGCTTTGCAGTCTGGTTTAATGTAATTTATAGTAAAACTGGGAAGACCATGATGGCTCATATTTGTAATCCCAGCACTTTGGGAAGCAGAGGCTGGAGGATTGCTTGAACCCAGGGGTTGAAAACAAACCTGGACAACATAGGCAGACCTCACCTCTACAAAAAACTTTTTTAAAAAATTAGCTGGGCACGGTGGTGCGTACCTGTAGTACCACCTACCCCAGAGGACAAAGTGGAAGGGTCTCCTGAGCCCAGGCGATCAAGGCTGTAGTGAGCTGTGACTGTGCTACTGCACTCCAGCCTGGGTGACAATGAGACACCACCTCCAAAATAAAATACCAATAAAATAAAATTAATAATAATATTAAAACTGGTTTTTTCCTACATTTGTGGAAGGGATTTTCTGGGTTGGCAGAAGATTTTCATTTTATTTTGGCCAACAGCATTCCCTTTTTCATCCTCTTATTTCCCTTTACCTTTCCTATGTTAGCATTCTTAGACTTCCCTGTTCTCCAGTACTCAAGAGACAGACAAAAGGCCCCAGAGGCCACTGTGAGCAGGGAGATAGATAGAAATTTCCTGAAATTCTGTCTTAGGTTTCACAGAATGGACCCATTCCCTTCTCTTGGCTCGGAGGCTGCCATCTTAGTAGTGTGCGTCTCTCTGTGCTCCATTGTTACTGTTCTTCATTATAAGAATAACATACATGGAAAAGTGTAAATAAAAATACAAGGACAGAGCTGACGACAAAGGGAAATATATGTCCCTTCTGTTTAATTTTACTAAGAACCTAAAATTACTCTCAAACTACTAGTCAATTATGTCCTTGTCCCACTCCCTTCTGTGGATCCTCAGCAGTCTTGAAGCCTCTATTCACAGCATGGGATGCATTTATTGCAAAGCAACAGCTAACATAATATTCGGTGGTGAAAACTGAAAGCTTTTCTGCTAAGATCAGTGATGAGACAAAGATGCCCACTTTTGCCACTTCTAGTCAACATTTCCTTGAAGGTCTATGCAGAGAAATTAGACAAAAAACTACAATAAATCAAAAAATTAGCCGGGTGTGGTAGCGCGTGCCTGTAGTTCCAGCTCCTCGGAAGGCTGAGGCAGAAGAATCGCCGGAGCCCAGCAGGTCGAGTCTGCAGTGGTCAGGAGCGGCCACTGCACTCCAGTCTGGGTGACAGAGTCAGACTCCAACTCAAAAAAAAAAAAAAGAAAGAAAGAAAAAGAAGTTAAAGCCATCCAAATTGAAAAGGATGGAGTAAAACTGTCTCTATTCACAGTTGATGTGATCTTATATATAGTAAACCTTTTATTTTGATATGTCTCAACAACAAAAGATCTAAATAAATGAAACTACATCCTGTGTTCGTGAATTGGAAGACAACACTGTTAAGATGGTAATACTCAAAGCAATTTACAGATTCAATGTTATCCCTATCAAAATTCCCTTGATCTTTTTGCAGAAATGCAAAAGCTGATATCCTAAACATCATATGAAATCAAGGAACCCCAAATAGCCAAAACAATTTTGAAAAAGAAAAAGTTGAATGACTCACTCTTCTTAATTTCAAAACTCACTACAAAGTTTCAACATAGTGTTGCACTGATAGACATAGACCAATAGACAGAATTGAGAGTCCTGACATAAACTCATACACAGTGGTCAGTTGATGTTCAACAAGTGTGCAAAACTACTTAATAGGGAAAGACTAATATTTTCAACAAATGATGCTGAAACAACTGGATAACCACATGCAAAAAAAGTAAGATATCTATCTCCCACTGCATACAAAAATTAAAGTGCATGATGATCTAAGTATAAAAACTAAGACTCTTAGAAGAAAATAAAGGGACAAATTTTCATGACCTTGTATCTGGAAACAGTTTCTTAAACAGTTTCTTAAATGACATCAAAAGCACAAGCAACAAAAGAAAAAAATAGATTGGAATTTATCAAAATTTAAAACTTTGTGCACCAAAGGACACTATCAGAAGAGTGAAAAGGTAACTCACAGAATTAAAGAGAATATTTCCAAATCATATAGCTGATAAAGTCTAGTGTTAAAATACATTAAAAAGTCTTTTGACTCGGTAACAAAAAAAATTCATATTTTAAAATTGAAAATAACACATGGTAGTACATGCCTGTAGTTTCTGCTACTTGGAAGGCTGAGGTGGAAGGATCGCTGGAACCCAGCAGGGCAAGGCTGCAGTGGCCAGGAGCGTGCCACTGCACTACTCTAGTCTGGGTGACAACAGAGTGAGACTCCAACAGAAAGAAAGAAAGAAAAAAAAAGAAAGAGAGAGAGGGAGGGAGGAAGGGAGGGAGAAAGAAAGAGAAAGAAAGAGAAACAACTGTTGGCAAGGATATGGAGAAATTCATACCTTACTTTGCTGGGATGAATATAAAGTGTTGTATCCACTAGTAAATAAACTTGGCGGTTCCCCAATAAGCTAAACAAGGAATTGCCATGTAACCCAGCATTTCCACTCCAAGCTATATGCCCCAAACAACTGGAAACAGGTGCTGAAACAAAAATTTGTACAGAATGTTTACGGCAGTAGCACTATTCACAATAGCCAAAAGGTGGAAACAATCTAAATGTTCATCAACCGGTGAATGGATAGACAAAATATGATCTATCCATTCAATCAAATACTATTCAGTCATAAAAAGGAATGAAGTATCGATACATGGCATAACACAGATGAACCCTGAAAACATGCTAAGTGAAAGAAACCAGACACAACATATCACATGTTGTAATCTTTCCATTTATGTGAAATCTCCAGAATTGGCAAACTGATAGAGATACAAGGTAGATTAGTAGTTGTCAGAAAGAGGAAATTGGCAAACTGATAGAGATACAAGGTAGACTAGTAGTTGTCAGAAAGATGAAATTGATGACCACTTACTGGGTATGGGATTTCCTTTTGGAAAATCTTCTAGAACTAGATAGTGGTGACAGTTGTGTAACATTGTGAATGTACTAGAGAGGGTGAACCCCCCAAAACTGAAAATTTCTTTTGGAAGCTAGCTCCTTAAAGTACAGGTTTCCCCCTCTAGGTAATCGTTCTAGGAACCCATCAGCATCCGTGTTCCAGCTCGTGTTATTGTGAGAGGCTGCATTCAGCTTCAGTGAATTTTTTGTGGCAAAAGGGTTCTTCCACCATGAATACGCACCTGCCCATACTGCATGGAATGTTCAGCAATTTTTTTTTTACCCAAAATGATGTAACTCCCAATGCCCCACCCTCCTTATTTACCTCTTCTTTCCCTGAGTGACTTTTTTCTTTGTTTCCCCAGATGAAAAAATTCTCAAAGGGAAATGTTTTGCTGATGTGGAAGAGGTGAAACCAAAAATGGCAGAAGCACTAAAAGGCAACAAAATTGACAAATTGAAAAACTATTTTTTGCAGTGGAAAGAGCATCTCAGAATGTGTAAAGCATCAAATGAAGAGTACTTTGAAGGTGCCTGAAGTTTAAACATGCAAGCATAAATACACAGCCAGGTGTGGTGGCTCAAGCCTGTAATCCCAGCACTTTGGGAGGCCAAGGTGAGGGGATTTCCTGAGCCC